ATATAGTGTGCAGATATATTACTGCAGACGTTTTTCCATATGATTTGGATTATCTAGAAACCGGAATGAGTGAGTGTTGTTGTGAGGGAGTCGGCGCAAGTGTGAGTATCGTTTGTCTCATCCGGAACCTAAACCCACGCACTCATTAAATGTTAGTAAACATCAGGTGACTCGATATAAATATGGTTTAGTATGCATGTTTTTACGAAGGCGTTGAAGTACGATTATAAGTGATGATTCAATTCAGTTCAGTTCAGTTCAGTTCAGTTCAGTTCATAGACGAATTTATGACAATAGAACTGGAAAATTCAAATGGTTTTGATACCGTGCACTTGTAGAATGCAGTTTTCGGAGGGATAGAAAATGACAAATTATAGTACAATACCTTCTAAAAATAGAACATACAATGACTCGGTGAAGTGTGTGAAGATAGAAATCCGCATTTATGTCTGTTGTTGAAATCATGATAGACGATGTCACTGATAGAAACTGAAATTTGAAGAGGCTATATTGAATTATTTGAGCTGCAACTATTGCCGAAAGTTGTGATTTTTAATTATTGTCGTTCTAAATAGTTTCGAAATTCATTGATTGCAGAAGAGTGAGTCCACTCTCTAAACAAAAGATGTTAGACTTAACCAATTATGATTCTACGTAGATATGGATACTATTTTCTAGAACTTTATGGCTCTAATCAAATACAGTTGCATTAAAGCCTTTTTTTCTAGTCTTAACCCCTTACTTCTATTGTTGATCTCTTAATTCTACATATAAATTCTTGTTTACTTAACATAAACTCAACATTCCTAATTAAGTGTTTTATTAATATGAAAATTGATCCACTAAAGTGATTGTAATTTTATGACAGAACAACCGACTATCATGATTACTCGCTATAATCGATTAAACTCTAATTTTCATAGCACCAACATCCTTTGCACAGTGTCGAATATGGCGCGAAAATCAAAAAGATGTCGATATTGATCAATCATCTTCAACGACCCAGAATATACTATTTTCCTATCGTCTTTACACGGGAGACATTTTATCGGTGCAACAACTTCGTCATGCTCTTCGACTCATTGTTAACAAACATGAATCGCTTCATACATCACTCTTCTATGATTCGAACAAAAATCTATTCATGCAGCGTGTTCTAATTCAACAAGATATTTCCAATGAAATGTTCATAATTACTGAAAGCACTTATGAAACTCAAGAACAACTCAATGTTACCATCGAAAATGAGAAATGTAATAGTCAACTTTTCGATCTTGTACAGGGTCTTGTCTTTCGATGTCATATTATTTACTATAAACAAATTTCTTCAAACAATATTCTTTCTGATAAAGATATCATTATCTTCAATTTTCATCATGCTTTCTTTGATTATTCATCGATGAAATTATTTCTTCATGATCTTGATCAAGCTTATAAAACAAGTCAACTAACAACTGATAATGCCACTACTCTACGTTATATCGATTGTCAGTATATTCAATTCCTTGTCTTATTTACATTGCTTCTTTCTTCATATTTAGATGTTGCTATTGAACAACAAATGTCAATGACTGGTGCAAGCATGTTTTGGCATGATACTTTGCATGATTATCATCTTGATCAATCACTATCATTACCATATGATCGATATCGTCTCCCAAATGAACATCGAACTAATCATATAACATCTGTCTCTTTCGATTTTGGTCAAGATCTGTCACATAATTTTCTCACCTATGCATCATCAAACAATGTATTACTTGAACATGTCACATTTGCTGTTTATTTCATCTTTCTATTTAAATTAACTAATGCACAAACAGATCTATGTATTGCTCTGAACATTAATAACAATCGATATAGAGATGAACTTAA